AAATGATACTGAAACTAATGTTAAATCTGACAAAATGAACTCATTTTTATTACGTTTCACATAGTGATTTAAATAAAATGGCAAATGTGAATAACAATTATTAGAGTTGTTTTGGAATAGAATTGCTATTCTTGATCAAATTTAATCACATGTTGCAATTTTATAAAGTATATTTTTACTGCTGTAACATAATTTAAATGACATTATATGTAAGGAATTAATTTTAAACCATCTTCATTAAAATGTTTTTTGAAAATGCGCTTATTTAAATTTTTTTTTTTTTTTTTGTATTTTATAAATAGATTATGGCAAATAAAAACCAAAAAAAGTTAGAAGTTTTTCTCTTTCACATGATTAAATTTTTGCTTTAACGATTCAAAATATATAAAATCTAACAAAATAAAAAAAATAATTTTTCAATCTTTTATTCTAATGGTTTTGGTACTGAAAAACATTTTCTTAAAGTATAAATACATTGATTTAGAAAATTATAATTTCTAACTTTGATTAAATTTTAGTTCCAGAAAGTCATTTAATGCACTTCCAAATATTAACAGACGACATTAGTTGAACGAATTGGTACATGGCACGCCTCATTGAAAATGGAATCTTTAGCTCCAAATTAGTTTGGTAGACGAAAATGAAACCAAGAGTTTCCAAAAAGCAGATTTCGGCCAATTTACCGAAAATTTCATTTCCCTTTACATCTTACATCAAAAGTAATTACCTGTACCGAACTTCAAAACAGAACTGTTAAAAGGCTTTTAGTAATGTTAGATTATTTGGCATGTAGGATTGGCAACAGTTAAAGGAATTAATGTGTTTGCAATTGCCTAATGTAATGGAACTTACCTTTCAATATTTTAATGAGTTCAAGAAAAATTTTAATTTTGATTTCATAAATGTAACTTTGATGATGATGATTATAATTTATTAGATCAGATTAAATGATTAGGCAAAAGAAAACGATTTCATTCAAAAAGAGAGAATAATAAAATTATTTTGATAATTACTCGGTTTTGAGTACAAGAAATATGTGAAAAGTCTTCAGAAATGTACGGCAATTAATGATAAAAAAAAAACAATAACAAAAAAGAGGGAAATAAAAAGATGAAAATATAATTGGTTTTAGAATCAACTCTATAATAAATGCGGCCTGATGGCCAATTGGCCAGCGCTCTGGCCTTTCGCACCACAGTCTTCAGATTCGAATCCTGGCTGTGACATGGATGTTTGTGAGTGATTCGGAATCCGCTTTAAAGGGTAGGTCCCGGTTTGTTTAACCCTCGTGTTCACAAGATGACCATAGAGCGACAAATCAAATCAAAAATAAATATTAGATTTTATTTTAATTAATAAGAAAAGTAAAAAGTAATTTTAAACACTTATTTTAAAATTAATCGTTTTAAATATATAAAATAATTTCAAATATTTTTAAAAGCTTTTGTATGACTACGTTACTTTTATTAAAGTGAATTTTTTACATTTTTCAAATCAAAATAAATACTACGAAAAGCATAACTGCATAATTCCAAAAAAAAAATGTTCTATAAATAAAATCGTTGAAAATGATTCCCCTCCTCCCCCCATGAAAAAAAAAAAACTGTGTTAAAAGAAATTTCTTGTAACCTTAGAATTTGTTTTTTAAAAATAATGACATTCAACATGTAAAGCAATATTAAATGTGCATTTATTTCTTCAAATACTTATGATTTTATAAATTTTAAATTTACACCTTCACATCTTACATCTTTACAATAGGTATATAGTTGCTTTTTTATTGTTAGTTTTTTTTAGTTGAAAATATTTTAAACGGAGGCACCATTGACACTCTATGCGGCAGGCACGAAGTTCAGAATTGAGCTTGAGACTGAAGTATATTGTTCAGTATTGAACTATTTGATTTCAGATATTGACCTGAGAAGATGCTTCTCTCTTGGCCACTAGAAAGGAAAGAAAGAAGGGAAAAATTTCCCTAAATATTTGTAACTTGATAATCAAAATAGAGATTGAATGATTTAGAAAAGATATATATACATACAATTAAATAACAATTGTAAACTTCCATGTGAAGAGCTGATGCTTATGCGTATGATGGAGTGTGAGCTTGCTTGAACGAGCTAGAAAAACTTTTACAAATTAATAGAATTCTGTTAAAAATGAAGAAACATATATATTTGAACTAGGGTAATGTCAAGCATTAAATTGCTTGTTTCTGCAAGACTAAAATATAAGTTTTGGACGTATGGCCTCCGATTGTTCTCTGTACAAATGGGAAAATAATAACACATCTGAAATATGTTGTAAATATACATGAAACATCATTATTTATCACCCACATTGTCAGTGGATTAACACAAGTAGAATAATAGTAAAAAATAAAAAAAAAAAATGGAATGAAATCTTAAATAGGAGTAAATATCCTAATTTCAGTAAATAAACATAAGAACAATACTTCAGCTTTAGAACAAACTGGTTATTGCTGTCAACTTTAAGCTCCATAGTTACTTTCTCTCTCGAGACACTCATATTGTTTTAAAGAACAATTTCGAAAAGAAGGAAAATAGATTTGTTGAAAGTATTGTTTTGTTGATCGAATGTCAGTGGATCGACAAAAAAGTATTTTAACTTCAGAACAAAAGATTACTCAATTACCAATAATCAGCTTCATAATTACTTTCTCTTCCAAATCACCTATACTGCATTAGTCAAGGTGTTGACGATCAGATTATTTGAAGAAAGGAGAAAAAAATTATCACCAAGGAATTATTTCCCCCAATTTCATAGAATAGAAGTGAGCAATTCAATTTCAGGACATCAAATTAATGTGATCAAATATATTATCGTATTTTCTATAACCTGTTTGTAAAAAGTATAATGATTAGATAATTTAAATCATGGTTTATGTACATATTTAAAAAAATGAACCATAAACGAAAAGTGACATCAGATGCATCATCTGCTTCGTATACTCCTTTAGTATTTAAAATTTTAGATTACTGCTACATGAATAGTTCAGTGTAAGGAACCAGCATTAATAATTCACTTAAAATGAATACAAAATCATTCAAGATCTTCTTTGATACGTGAAAATCTGTACCATAAACTAGCAGTTTGGACAGAGGGAACAGCAAGAATTCAGCCATAATTCCCATGCGAAAGAACACCATCCGGATAACAGCGTTCTACAGAAGAGGTTTATTAGTGGTTTGCCGCCACCGTAAATTCGAGTGAAGGAAAACTTTGTTGCAGTAGCTATCTGTTGCAGGGGCTGAGGTTGGGGCTATGAGTACCTTTCATGGGGCTCAATCGATGACGATACATTTGGGAAAAGGGATTCAATTTAGACCCCTCCCTTGGAAAGAAGGAGGAAGAATGGTGTTCTATCAGAAGAGAGTTTGATTGCACCTGGTGATGTATTGGAAGCCTCATGGGCAGGTGGTGTTTTTCAAAAGAACACGATGCAGAAATGTTTGGATTTCGTGCTTCAGGTTTTGTGAATGGTTATTTCATTTAGAGAAATAATATTTTTGTAACAAATGTGTTTCTGGTGAAGAACTCACCATTTCCCGTGATTTAGGGAATAAAGATATATGTGAATTGTATGCTTTGGAAAATAAGTATTTTTCATTTCTTTATGTGGATATTTATCAGTCATTTTATTGACTCAGTTCGTGTGAATTTAAATGATTTAGAGATGATATTCAATGCATGTAATTCCTTTTTACAAACAAAACTGCTTGTTTACACTGCGTGATTACATTTCATCAAAAAAAAAAAAATTAACTGAATTACTTACTGTCCAACCAGCTATCATTCAAAATTTCCAAGTATCCAAGTCACGTGGATTTAAACGCAGCAGTTTAATGGAGGAGATACAAGTGTAAGCTGTATAACACATAGTATTACAATTTTAGAAATTGAAAATTCATTAACAAATAGCTTTAACTTTTAATAATTTATGTTTTTAAACTGCACAATATCAAAAAAAAAAAAAAAAATCACATGAAAAAGCTAGACCAAATCGCGAAATAGGGGACGCTGGGATTTGGCGATATTTTTATGAGGCCAACTGAGTGATAAATCGCCAAATTTTGTAATCCGGTAATAAATGGTTTTGATAGTCAGTCAGTCAGTCGGATTTCTTGTACTGTTTGCAATTCACTTTCTCTTAATATCTCAATATTCCTCTTTTGGCTCATTTGACGAAACATTTTGTGCAAATCACAGCGGCCTATTCTGCGATTTTGCTAAAAAATATTTCAACAAAAATTTGTAAACCTTTTTCTTTCCCAATGCTTTGCTTCATACACATGAAACTGGTATTTCTAACAAGTAATAAATGCGTACATTTCTTCTTTAAACCGGAAATTTACTTTTCAACTGAATAAATGTTAGAACCATAATTAAAAATAATATTTATTCTATTTTTAATGTTTATATAGAGTTCATTAACATCCTGGAGTTTATAATGTTGCATTTAACATTTTCTTCCTTCCTATCCAATATACCTGATGAAGAATTTCGACGAGTGTGTGTCAAAAGGAAAGATAAAGTTTCAATTTGAATGGAAGTGTGTTTTCTCTTTTATGGCCGAATCCATAAGGAAAGAGAGGTGGAGAAAAGCAACTTTCAGGAATTTTACAGAAACTGGAATTTAGATTTCAAATATGATATTTGCTGTTAAATAAAATATTTCAGGTATCACTCTCAAATATAGCACGATTAGCAGAAACGCAAACAAATTAGACAATTTTAAAATAATCATTTTTTTGTAAAACAGTGCAAAATAAAACAGAAAAAGAGAAACGATTTAAGAGTCGTTAACAAATTTGCAAAAATGTCCAAAGATAAGATTTTATTAAAAAGGAACCAAAGATTTAGTAGCCATTTGATCATTTGGATTGGAACGGCTGAGGTGGAAGTTTAAAAAGTATGTGATTAATATTCCAAAACTATATTACATTTTAAGCATTGATTAAATTTGTTTAAGTGGGAGT